GCAAAGTGACCATCTAAAGTCGCAAAGTGTCAAACCGTCAACCCCAAACCACTGCTCACAACTCTGCACCTAAGTAACAGAAGAAATTCCGCCATAAGCTCAAGCATTCGTATCTGTCGAAAATCATAACTCATAGCCATATTCATAGATCGATCGCATGAATCAGTCGCCACCTTAAAACATTACATTCGCTTTCAACCGTATTTACCTGTTCAATAATTGATTTCGACTTCGCAATTGATTCCTTCAGCAATATTACCAATAATTTCGCAATGCAACTTTTAGTGAATTAAGCACGAATCTACACCATTAATTTCACAAACGAATTCCAACCTCAAATCGCACTTGACCACCGCCGATTATAATAAATCGAACGAACCAGTTTGACCAAAGACAATGACATATTCAATGTGGTCACGCATCCTGTCATCAATTTCAGCGTTCGTGACACTGAGCTGCTTATTCAAATTTTAGGATTTCGCTCACGGCCTAATCGTGAATTCCAACGGATGATAACGAGTTGCTGGCGACTCTGACATGACCTCGAAATTCAGATCCTAATATGCTACTAGGGTGTCTGGACCAATAAGTTCAAAGTAATTTAAGTTTTCCAATTCCAATTGAGAGTGCATTTTATGGCAACCGAAAATGTTTGGCAGTCGTCACGGCACGGTAGGCTGGGCAGAGGGGGGGGGGGGCAAGGATCAGGGATTGAGCAGACTTTTCAACAACACTCACATTCTGGAGTTTCTCTGCGCTTCCGCTTCTCAGTGTGGTCACAAGCGTCAGCGGTTGTCCTCCGGCTCGGGTCGGTCGAACTGAAGAGGCTTCTCGCGGGTGACCCCGGACTGACGGCGGCTCCCAGAAGGCGTCCCCGGCTCCAGCTGCAGACTGTGACTCTCGGCTGCTCGACTGTGATTCTCTCTCTGGTTGGGTGGCGCACCCTTTTATAGTTGGGGGGGGGGAGGGGTGACTGCCACGCCCTTGCGACGTCATCTTCCTCTGCCTTCTTCTGGTGGGTGGGGCCGTAAGATGGCGCCCTCTGTCCTGTTTAGTCACCTTGCTCCTCTGTGCCTGCAATTTTTGGCCGTCGAATCGTCTTCGTGTTGAGTGCTTTATCATTTTAGTAATCGCTGGCATAAAACAATCCCCGAAAGGTTTGTGATTTTCGAGTTTTAATTTTGATTCTTCAATTTCATTTTATTCAAACTTTTGTTTCCTTCCGTTTCGTCTGCCGCCAACGCCCCTGTGACGTCACTCTTGCTCCGCCCACCGTACCGGGGCGTGGCCGTAAGTCAGCGCCTTCTTCCTCTGCGGAGATCTCTGGAACTACCTCATGAGGCCATTGTGAGGTCGGTCACCCGGCTGTTTTGCCAGGTTCACTCACCCTGGGTTGCTGTGCCCGACAAAGGAGGCTGTGTGCTCCAGCCGGCATCCATCCTTGACACTGCTCCATGATCTGTTGACATATCTTACTGATCCAGCGTTATTTGAGGAGGCTCGGATCGCTCATCCTGCGGTAGCTGTCTCCATAGGCGAGCGTCGTAATGAGAGTTTAACGGCTGCCCATTGCGAAGACCTCTGGAACTACAGCGTTTTTGCTTGCCGTAGGATCTTTCTGGTTTTGCCATTCCCTCCGTGGGACTCAGCGCGGCGCAGCTGTTGTGGTACCTGACAGAGTACGTGACAAGTGACAGAGTACCTTAACGTGCTCGCTCGCCGCCGCCGCCGGCCGCAGTTCTGACGTAGCTTGTTGACTCAGCTGTGCCTCGGCGGTTCGTACTGATGTGACCGGCATCGTCTTCTCGCAGATGTGTCTACTGCGGGCTATTCTCACGGACAGTGCTCGTTGAGGGAGTTGGGGAAAAGTGCTGAATGGGGATGGCGGGCCTGGTGACGGGGGGGGGGGGTAGTGAATAATGAGAGGGGAGGAGAGCGCAGCAGCAGCGCTCCGCTCAGCTGTGCGTCACCCGGTAGCAGCGACGGGTGTGTGAATGGAGGGCTAGGCCTGTGACCGGACTGCGAGGGGGGGGGGGGACTGCCAGACCGAGCCGTGCCGAAAAGATATTACGTTAAATGTTCAAGATGTAGCGTGCTACACACTGAGCTGCACCGTATCCAGCTGGGAACAGCCGTGAAGGGCGGACAGCACAGTTTCGCAAATGACGCCGGATCCGACAACACCGACGTCTTTCAAGCCAGTGAGGGCAGCCAGGAGGCGTTCCGTCGCCTCCGGTGTCACGGACGGTGAGTCTGTAAAACAAATACAGACATAGGTACATACCGACTGGAATGGCTGGAACTGAAGATGAATATATTGAATAATACATATTATCAGCAATATATGCCTATTACCAACCGGTAGGACGCCTTTTTGGGAAACGGACAAGCGAGTGCAATAAAGGAATAGTGGAAAAGCGCAGTAGTAAGATCCAACTGCTTTATATGGGCCATCCTTCCAACCAGTCCATAATAGCGTAGCAGCCTCGTGTGCCCCTCGTTATTGAGAATAAGATGCATAAGCATATATTATTACATGGCTCCTGTGTTAATTTGGCATGAGATATTTTTTACTATTGCCCGTCATCAGGTTACTGACCTTTCACTGTCAGGTTACTGACCTTTCTGAAGGTGAGAAGCGGTTGCCATGTCAACGGTCAATAGTAAGTTGCTCGCGCAGTGGTGTTTGAACAAAAATTCAAATGTCGTAATTTTATCGTCGTTTTCTCAGACTGTTCAGTTTGATTTCGTGATGTCGTGATTGGCTAGTCAAGTCATCAAGAAATGGGCCGTCATTTGAACATGTCCGTTCAAATACCCCGAATTAATTTGTTGGAGCCGCATGAATTGGATGAGCTATTTTCATCGCGCAGGGCTCATGGCACTACAAAGGTGATTAAATCAGCAGAAGACGTCTTCATTGAGTTCTTGCAAGTAAAAGGCATATCTGTTGAAAGCTGCATGCACAGCAACGATGTCCTGGACAACGCTGTGAAGGAGTTCTTCATTACTGTAAAACGCAAGGACGGTGAACGCTACAAATCGAAGAGTCTCCACACTCTCAAGTACGGCGTGGCGTGAAACATATAAAGCTAAGTGTGTGCCGTAGACATTTGACGTGGCTATGATTGTATATCCAATACATTCAATTGTACCATGATATTTGTGTTTGGATATTTTTTATTACGGGATGAATGAGTACTAAGTAAAGATTCCGAGAGTTGGCCATGTAATAAAACGAATACTGCATGGGGGAGCGGGCAATAGCAAAAAATATTGCCCTCTGTAACGTCACTGTCGCCCTCGGGTGAAGACCTCCACAAGTGCTATTGCCCTCGGCTTCGCCTCGGGCAATAGCACTTGTTTCGGTCTTCACCCTCGGGCGACAGTGACGTCACATCGGGCAATATTTTTTGCTATTGCCCGCTCCCCCATGCAGTATTCGTATACTATACCCATACATAATAGCCAAATGCATATACTATAGGGTAGTGTGGGGTAATTTGAACATATTTTTACGTCTTCTCCGTTGTACCAAATTCCAGTTCAACCCTGGATGAAGAAAAACTGTTTCAGTAGCGCAAGTGTCACTTGCTTTCACCATGCAAGCCTCATTTTTGGACGAGCCGAGCATACCTTGAATAGCATAGCCTCACTTCTCCACCAAGTCACGGTGTGTTCAAATTGCCCCACCGTGGGGTAATTTGAACATACTGCCTTTACCTGTCATAAAAACGATAGTCTCGCCAGCACCGATGTTGTTTGACCCATAAACAAATAGGCAGAACAATTCTAAACATACCTTCACTTGAAAAATCAACACAACAGCAAAAATAACAGTTGCAGAGTATCAATATCTGCACGCGTCACACCGGTCAGTTGACAGAATTCGCCCCTCACAGAACGTCTATCATTTTTGTTCGACAAAAACTCTCCCAACCTTACTACATCTTTTAAAGTGGTGCAAATCGAAACCTGGACATTTGGAGTTCTGATTTTGTCCAATGTCCAATTCGGAATTGGTTGGACAAAGGTAGCAGACTGGACAACATTGAACGATGGCTTGCTACACTTCAGCGCTTTTTATAAAGTAATCGTGCATAGAATTGATTGGCGAATGGAAAGCTTGTTAAGCTCTCAATATAATGAACACTTTTCGGCTGGTAAAATTGCATGTTAAGCAATATAAATGACGGTTTTGAGTGTTGATAGCTGCATAATATTCGGACATATTTGGACAAATAGTTGACTTTAACATTTTTGGACGGAAAATCAACGAAAATGCCGGACATTAGAGGGATATTAGACGTAAATTTTCTAAAACTGGCATCACTTATCTGCTACTGCTTTGGTTCGAAAATACTGGCAAAAAAAAAAACTGGGAGCGTTGTTTTTTTCGGAGGTATCCCTGTCTTCATTGAAATTCTCACACTATGTTCAAATTACCCCACGCTAAAAGTTATTTTGCCATTTTAAAAAACAGGGTTCAAAAGCAAATTTCTTGGATTGAAGGCACTGATTAGGTCATTATACAACAAAAGCCGTTGCGTATTAGGCGCTAGCAATGCAAGATTTTGCGCTGCAATGAAGTTGCAATGACGTGTTGTTAGGCGTTTTTCCTTGCGAAATTGATTTTTTACACTGTGCGTCAACATCTTCATTCCCTGAAACTTTAAACCCCGTTCATATGATAGCCCTTTTAGTTACGATAATTTCTCTCATTGGTCTTATTGTCATGCCACTTATGGATTTTCCGTAATTTTGTGTTATTCACACTATGTTCAAATTGCCCCACATGTTCAAATTACCCCACCCTACCCTACTCATTGGCATGATCGGTACGATATGTGTTTGACGATAAACGCTACGTTTTGTCAACTTGATAAAGAGCAGTAGTAAGCGGAACATAAGAGCCACGTGTTCCCTACATTTGTCATGGCCATTGGTCAGTGGTCACGATGTCTTGGCACCGATGCTCTACTCGTGTTGGTGTTGCTCACCACGAATGAACAGCTTGGTGACTGTGTGGGTCGCCAGGACAGCCAGCTGGTCCAGGAGTGTGTCCGTTGCTGACAGTACACCGACCAGCACTCCCTCCGACGGGCATCTATTGAAAGTCAGCGGTGCCCCAGTCATCCCCGACCCTGTGGAGAGGGACATAATCACCTATCAACACTGTGACTGTACACTCAGTGTACACTGTACAGTGTACAGGGGAAAGTATTAGCCGTGGACTATAGTCAGCTCATAAGGAGACAACAATATAGGACAAACAGATGGCATAAAGATTACCTGGCTCCTTATACGAGTCTTATTCTGTAATTCATAAAGAACTGGAATTATTTATTGTTTCATCGTATTCAGATCTTGCATTCTCTTTTATTGCATTTGTGTTAGGTCAAGCCATAGCCTCTCTTGAAAGTATCACGTCTCGAAAGTATCGCTATCGCTCCCTAGTTTGAGAGCCCTGGCTTTATAGGGTCGGCTGCCTGGCCGTACCGTACCGTTGTCACGGTGTCATGGGTCCTCGAGGCGACCAACCCTAAAAAGCCAAGGGTTTGCAAACCAGGGAGCGATCTCAAACCATGGAGCAGTAGAGATACTTTCGAGACACGATACTTTCAAGAGAGACTATACATACCGTACCCAACCTGTTTATAAGCTTACAAAAAAAAGAAGTATAACCGAACAAATTTGACCTTCCCTTCTTCACTATGTTCTGCCTCTCACACACAAAACATGTAACAATTACAGGAGAATTAATTGTTTTCCCTTTTAGGCTACGCGCATATCCCACAACCCTTCTCACCAGTAATGTCCAGTCTCTTCAGCGACTTGGGCAGCAGCCGAAGCCACTTGCCGGAGCTGTCCACGGGTGGGCTCACATCAAGCCGCTCCAGAGCCTTCAGCGGCTCCAGCAGGGCCTCCAGCTGCCAGTCGTTGATGCCGGCCGGCAGCGTCAGCTCACAAAGACTGGAGGCGTTGGCACGCGCCAGCCGGCGCAGGGCAGAGACCCGCAGCTTAAAGCCGCGCAGGTTGGCCTTTTCCAGGGCGTGGCAGGTGGCTGCTGGAATAAAGCAACACCAGTCAGTGAAGAAGTGATCGCTCATATGGACAAGGAATGGCAGTTACAGCGGGACAAAGCGTAGGGGAGAGTGGGGTTATTTGGCAGGTGGTGTAAATTCAGGCCACCCCCACCTGTACGATGTCTTATAAAAGTGAGTGAAATAATTCTAGTCTCTATTCATTTGTCATGGGTAGAAATAACTGGAGGACAAATGTCAAAACTTTGCCCATCGTAGTTTTATTCAAAATTAATAAAGCGTTAATTTCATTAGAAAACGGTAACTTTTACTTCAGTTTACAAAGTTGTATAACGTGTAGTACGAGTATTTGGGCTAAAAACGAATTCAGACATTATAGCGCCATTCTTGGGGGTGTTCAGCGGATCCAAGAGCAATTTTATCTAATTCCGTATAGCCGTAATGACTTTATATACAAAAAAATTCAGAATGGCAATATGGGGTAATTTGGCCGGGACTAGCGGGGCAACTTGGCCGGTGTTCTCATGGTCACTATGCTGGGACGGCCGAGTTTTCATGGTCAATTGTACCATAACCTTCGCCCCAGTGCACGGTAGGCGATCGGGCCGGTCTAGCCTCGCGAAACCTCAAAGACATTTTTTTTCCGAAAATGGGGTTGGGAACTCGATTTTTTAAGAATGCATGAAAATGATCAAACTATTTTCACATAATTTATGGTGCATACCATTGCCTCATAAAATCAATAAGCTGAGAGAAATGGGGGAAGAAAGATAGGAAACTTGTTTTGAAAAGTTCTTGAAAAAAGATGCTCTTGATGCTGTTACGTCACATGTCACCTTCTGCGGTTGACAAATAATGGCGCATCTGGCGCACCACAGATTACATGTTATATCAATGGGTGAAAGATGTTGTTTGCTTCACTCTGCCATTCGCGCTGTTTTTAACTTTAAATGATGTTAAAACATTTACGGATGAAGTGTTCAGTGTCAAAAATTGATGTGTCTGCCGTGTACTATATTCCCACTTAACATGAGCGCGTGATAAACATTTTATGTACCTCGAATTTTCAAATGATAAAGATGATGAATCGGAGGATGCTGAAAAGCAAAAGCTCATTCCAATATTTGGACTACTTTACGATTAAAATGTTTACATTCCTGTCATCTTATTGATCATTTATTTGTTCTTTTTTATGAAAATAACTTAAGGCGTTGAGAACCGAGGTAATTTTTATCTACCGTGCCTTAACTTACCAGCAACAGCAATCTATCTACGCCCTACGGTGGCCAGGGAGACTGTGAAAGAAGCGTAAGATAGATTCTAAACAATTCTTTACTGAAGGGCAAAGTGCAGAGAAGAGCGCACAAGTCCTGTTTTGTGCCAGGCTGTTGCAGTAGCACTTATGAAACTCCGAAAACGATCTTCGTTCATGTCTCGAACAACATTACCCTGAGGAGATGATCGTCTGCAATAGCAGGAAGAGCTGATGCAAGTACTTTGAAATCCACTATCAAGTCGGTGCTATTGTTGTAATGATCACTGTGAGGTGAAATATTTTGTGCAAGGGCTGAGTGTAATGCCCAGGAAATGACCTCCATTCGCCCCCTGACCGGTCAGGGTTATAAAATTTGAGTGGATGGCGGTCCGTTTGGGGTTCAGATGTCAATTGTATTTTGTTACTGTCAAACAATACATGTTATGCTGGCAGCGAATGTGTGTAACGTCGTTTTTCGAAACAGAAGTTAGAACTGTAACGGCAGAGTGCTTGCTGGTCTCATCGTAAGTATTGTAAGTGTTGTAAGCAAAAGCATTGTCAATATTGTAAGTATTGTGAGCATTGATGTATGGTAGATATCACCTCACATGATCTCGGCTCAGATAACCCTCTCCGGTGTCCCTGTCAGTAAATGGCACCTGGATCATTACAGATAAGATAATTTGTCATAATTCTTAAAGAATTGGGTGGTTTTGACTCGTTTACTCGAGGTGCAGGTCGCATTTCAATACTTTTCCATAGGCTTGCAATGTAAAGGTCACGACTCTGACCTAACCTCAGGTCACAGATCAAAAATTCTGAGATATGCAAACGACACATACTGCAGGTACTGTTTTGAAGACTTGATGAGAGGAAATAACTTCGTGAAAAACTCAAGCTCTGACGTGTTTGCAAACTTTTCTGAGGTGGGGTCAACAAACCCGCTCTGGTTACCTGACCTGACCTGACCCGGCATTTTTTTTTTTTTTTGCTGAGATGTGCGCAATGAGCATTTAGGAAAAGTCACCAAATATGAGCTGAATGTCTCGCGGCGTTTGGCAATTGTACAAGAAAACCCTGAAAGGTCTCCCCGTCCGAAATAGGGTTAATGTGTATATGAAGAGTTGCAGATGCCAAACATACCCAGATCTAAGACTGCAGTTCCCAGCGCCGCTGCAACGTTTTTAAAACAAACATACATAGGACATACAAACATGTTTATTTGCATCTGTTTTGGATAATAGCAACTCATGGCGCCATCACCCGCGATAACTGTTAGGATTTGAGATATATTTTTATTTAGGCCATTAGTTTGGCTGTAATGTTTATTAATACTAGAGGTACAGGTTTACGCGATAACTGTATGTTTTGATATGTATGATTAATGGATGCATTAGTTTGGGTGTAAAAACTTGCATTTTTATTGGTTTTATTTGTGAAGAACTGGGTAACTGCTTTTAATTGAACTGTAAAGTATGATGGTGATGCATGCGATTTGTTCGAGCCCTTTGTAAGTTAGGATGTTACTCAATTCAACCCTACCCTACCCTACCCTACCCTACCCTACCATACCCTACCCTACCCCCACCCTACCCTACCCCTACACTACCCTACCCTACCCTACCCTACCCTACCCTACCCTACCCTACCTTACCATACCCTACCCTACCCTTACACTACCCTACCCTACCCTTACACTACCCTACCCTACCTTACCTTACCCTACCCCTACCCTATCCTACCCTTCCCTTACACTACCCTACCCCTACCCCTACCCTACCCTACTCTACCCTACCCTACTCCTACACTACCCTACCCTGCCCTAGCCTACCCTACCCTACCCTACCCCTACCCTACAATCCCCTACCCTACCCTACCCTACCCTACCCTACAATCCCCTACCCTACCCTACCCTACCCTACCCTACCCTACAATCCCCTACCCTACAATCCCCTACCCTACCCTACCCTACCATACCCTACCGTACCCTACCCTACCCTACCCTACCCTACCCTACCCTACCTACCCTACCCTACCCTACCCTACACTACACTACACTACCCTACACTACCACCGACAGTCCAAGTTTCAGCTAAATCGGCCCAGAAACGGCTGAGATATTGCAAGAACAAATTAATTGTATTTACTGGCGAATCCTCTTGGCGAGCGGTGCCCGGCGTCGGTATTCGTTGCCAAAGGTCAACGACCTCCCGGCTCTGATTTCGCTCAGTTTTGCAAACGAAGAAACTGAGCCTAAAGCACGTGCCTTCTGCTCGGCGCCGGTCGCGGCCCCACCACGTGCACACCGCTGAACCCACCCCCTCGAAAATTTAATGCGACAAATTAGTGCACGCGTCCGACTTACAGCGAAAATTTCACCCCCGTAGCCCTTACCGTTCCCGAGCAATAGTCTGTTGCCGATTCTAGTGTAAACCCTATGGCACACCACGTGAGCGCGCGCCACGGGCGCACCCCCGGCCGCATCGTGCCCAAAATTTAATACGACCTGTTGAATGACGTGACCCACGAGCCGTGAAGATTTCACCCCCCTGCGTCAATCGACGGCGCCGCTATAAGCGTTTTTGGGCGTAACCCCGACGGCGGACTTTTTAGGATTTATAATATAGACTAGAGGTACAGGTTTACGCGATAACTGTATGTTTTGATATGTATGATTAACGGATGCATTGGTTTGGGTGTAGAAACTTGCATTTTTATTGGTATGATTTTTGTAGAAGTGGGTAACTGCTTTTAATTGAACTGTAAAGTATGATGGTGATGCATGCGAGTTCTTCGAGCCCTTTGTAAGTTAAGATGTTACTGAACGCAACCCTACCCTACCCTACCCTACCCTACCCTACCCTACCCTACCCTACCCCTACACTACCCTACCCTACCCTACCATACCCTACCCTACCCTACCCCTACACTACACTACCCTACCCTACCCTACCCTACCCTACCATACCATACCCTACCCTATCCCTACACTACACTACCCTACCCTACCCTACCTTACCACTACCCTACCCTACCCTACCCTACTCTACCTACCCTACCCTACCCTACTACCCTACCCTACCCTACCCTACCCTACCCTACCCTACCCTACTACCCTACCCTACCCTACCCTACCCTACCTAACTCTACCCTACCTAACTCTACCCTACACTACCCTACCCTGCCCTACCATACCCTACCCTACTACCCTACCCCTACACTACCCTACCCTACCCTACCCTACCCTACCCTACTCTACCCCTACCCTACCCTACCCTACAATACCCTACCCTACCCTACCCTACCCTACCCTACCCTACCCTACTCCTACACTACCCTACCCTACCCTACCCTACCCTACCCCTTCCCCTACCCCTACCCTACCCTACCTACCCTACCCTACCTACCCTACCCTACCTAACTCTACCCTACCTAACTCTACCCTACCTAACTCTACCCTACCTAACTCTACCCTACCTAACTCTACCCTACCTAACTCTACCCTACCCTACCATACCCTACCCTAGTCCCTACCCTACCCTACCCTACACTACCCTAACCTACCCTACCATACCCTACCCTACACTACCCTAACCTACACTACCCTACCCTACCCTACCCTACCATACCCTACCCCTACCCTACCCTACCCCTACACTACCCTACCCTACCCTACCCTACCCTACACTACACTACCCTACACTACCACCGACAGTCCAAGTTTCAGCTAAATCGGCCCAGAAACGGCTGAGATATTGCAAACACAAA